GGAGACTTTTAAGAAAAGATCTAAAGGACGAGAAAGAGGCAGCCATGCTCCATGTACTTCGGCAGGGGGGACTATTATGAATAATACTATTATGAATATTAAGTTACAAATTTTTATGTGTACATGTGTTTTTATTTTTCTTAGATAGATACCTAGGAGTACAATTGCTGGATCATACGGCAACTATGTTTAGCTCTGTGAGAACTGCCAGACTGTGTTTATGAAGAACCAGCAGTTTCTGAGGGTTCCAATTTCTCCACATCCTCACTAACACTTGGTCTTTTGGAATACAAGCACATCTGTCTTTGATTATAGCCAGCCGTGTGTGTGTGAAGTGGTATCTCATTGTGGTTTTGATTTGCATTTCTCTGATGACTATGGATTTTGAGCATCTTTTCATGTGCTTTTTGGACAGTTGTATCTTCTTTGGAGAAATGTCTACTCAGATCTTTTGTCCATTTTTCAATTGGATTTTCTTTTTATTATTGAGTTGCAATAGCTCTTTATATATTCTAGAGTCTCTTATTATATATGTGATTCACAAATATTTTCTCCCATTCTATAGGTTGTCTTTTCATCTTCTTGATAGTGTCCTTTGATGCACAAAAGTTTTTAATTTTGGTGTTTCTTTTTTTTTCTTTTGTTTCTTATGCTGTTGGTGTCATATCTAAGACTCACTTGCCAAATTTAAAATCATAAAGATTCACCCCCATGTTTCCATCTAAGAGTTTTATAGTTTTAGGTCATATATTTAGGTGTTTGGTCCATTTTGAGTTAATTTTGTATATGGTGTGAAGGAGGGATCTAACTTTATTCTTTTGCCTGTATCTAGTTATCCCACTACCATTTGTTGAAGACTATTGTTTTCCTCATTTAGTTTTCTTTTGCATGTATCTAGTTATCCCACTACCATTTGTTGAAGACTATTGTTTTCCTCATTTAGTTGTCTTTGCATCCTTGTTGAAAATCAATTGACCATAAATATAAGGGTTTATTTCTGTACCTTAATTTATTCCATTTATCAATATGTCTATTCCTATGCCAGTACTGCACTATCTTGATTACTGTAACTCTATAGTAAGTTTTGAAATCAGGAAGTGTGAATTCTCCCATTTAGTTCTTCTTTTGAGGTTATTCTGGGCCCCTTGAATTTTCATATGAATTTTAGGATCGGCTCATCAGTTTCTGCAAAGAAGTCAGCTGAGACTCTGATCAGGATTGTGTTGAATCTGTGTCCTGACCCACGGGATATTCAACGCAGACCCTGGAGGGGGGAGTGGGAATGGTATGGAACAAGAGACACGAGAGATGGGAGACAAGACAGTATTCTGATCAAGTCTCGTTTATTGATTCTTAGGTTACATCTTATATAGGAAAAAGCAGGCATGCTGCAAAGGGTCTGGAATGTAAAGATATGATAATATCTTGAGGAGAGACAAAGACAGGACATTCAAAGTAAAGGTTGCCGCCCAGAATGTTTTGCAGTTAAACAGTTTCTGGAGAAGGATAAAAGGTCACTTGCAAATTAACTTGCATAGCCAGGAGCAATCAGTTTCTGGCACAAGCAGATTTCGAGGCAGTTATCATGTAAAGCACGGCCATCTGAGCAGATTGTCACATAGGAGCGGTCTCACAAGAAGGGGTGTGGGGCTTCAGGCCCCCAACAAATCTGTAGATCAATTTGAGGAGTACTGTCATCTTAACAATATGACATGGGGTGTCTCTCCACTTATACAGGTTTTTAATTTTTTTCAAAAATGTTTTACAATATAAGTTTTTCACTTCTTTTGTTAAATTTACTCCTAACTAGTTCATTCTTAATTTTCATTTTAGGTTTGCTCATCGCTATCATATAGATATAGAACTGATTATTGTATATTGGTCTTGTATCCTGTAACCTTGCTGAACTTATTAGTTTTAATGTTTTTTTAATGGATTTCTTAGGATTGTCTATATATCAGATCATGTCACTTGCAAATACAGTTTTACTTCTTTTCTTTTATTGTATTCTCTTGCCTCATTGCTCTGGCTAGAATATCCTGTACAATGTAGAATAGAAGTGGCAAGAGTGGACATGCTTGTCTTCTCCTGATCTTAGGGAGGAAATATCAGCTTTTCACCATTAAGTATGATATTATCTGTGGTTTTAGATGCCTTTTATCAGGTCAAAAAAGCTCCCTTCTGTTCTTAGTTTGTTGAGTGTTTTTAACATAAAAGGGTGTTGAATTTTGTCAAATGCTTTCTATGATCATGTGGGGTTTGACCTCTAATCTATTGATGTGGCGTATTACATCAATAAATTTGGGGAAGTTAAGTTAATCTTGCATTCCTTGGATAAATTTCACCTGGTCATGATGTACAATCCTTTTTATGTACTGCTATATTCAATTTACTAGTATTTCGTTGGGGATTTTTGCCTCAATATTCATAAGAGAGGTTGGTCTGTAATTTTCTTTCTTTGTGATATCTTTGTCTGGTTTTGGATAATGCTGGCATTATAAAATGAGATGATAAATGTTCCTTCTTCTATTTTTTAGAAAAGTTTATGAAATTTTGTACTTTTTAAGCTTTTCTATTGTGGTAAAATATATATAACATAAAATTTGCCATTTTAACGATTTTAAGTATACATTCCAGTGGCACTAAGTACATTCATACTGTTGTGCAACCATCACCACCATCCATCTCCAGAACTTTTTTCATCTTCCCAAATTGAAGTCTTGTACCCATTAAAGTTATTATTTCTTCTTTAAATGTTTGGTACTTTTTTCATCTTCCCAAATACCACCATCCATCTCCAGAACTTTTTTCATCTTCCCAAATTGAAGTCTTGTACCCATTAAAGTTATTATTTCTTCTTTAAATGTTTGGTAGAACTAACTAGTGAAGCTATCTGGTCCTGAGCTTTTTTGTGTAAAAAGCTTTATGTTACTAATTCAATCTCTTTACTTGTTATAGATCTATTTAGAATTTCTGTTTCTTCTTGAGTTCGTTTCCTTAGTTTTGTGTATTTTTAGGAATTTGTATACATTATATTCAAGTTACTCAGTTTATTGACATACCATTTTTCATAGTATTCCCTGATAATTCTTATTTCTATGAAGTCTGTATTAGTGTCCCCTTTCATTTCTGATTCTAGTAGGTTGAGTCTTCTCTATTTTTTCCTTGGTCATTCTAGCTAAAGCCTTGTCCATTTTATTAACCTTTTCAAAGAACCAACTTCTGGTTTCATTGATTTTTTCCTACTGTTTTTCTCTTCTCTATTTCACTTATTTTTACCCTAATCTTTATTATTTCCTTCCTTTGGCTTGCTGAGGAATTAGTTTGCTCTCTTCCAGTATCTTAATGCAGAAGATTAGGTTGTTGATTTAAGATTTTTTTTTTCTTTTTTCTAATGTAGACTTTTGTAGCTGTAATTTTCCCTCTAAACACTGGTTTAGCCACATCCCACATGTTTTGGTGCAATTTCATTTTAACTCATCTCAAAGTATTTCCTTATTTCCCTTATGATTTTCTCTTTGACTCATTGGTTCTTTATTAGTATGTTGTTTAATTTTCATGTATTTGTGAATTTCACAAATTTCTTTCTGTTATTAATTTCTAATTTCACTTCACTGTGATCAGAAAACATATTTCGTACAATTTTAATAATTTTAAACCTATTGATGCTTGTTTTATGACCTAGCACATTGCTTATCCTGGAAAATGTTCCATGTGCACTTGAGAAGAATGTACATTCTGCTGTTGTAAATGTTTGTGAGGTCTGGTTTTGTAGAGTGTTGTCCAAGTCTTATATTTCCTTATTGATCTTCTGCCTAGTTTTCCTACACCTTATTGAAAATGGCACATTGAAGTCTTCAGCTATTGTTGTATTGTCTATATATCCCCTCAGTTTGTTAGCCTCTGCTTCACATATTTTGGAACTCTGTTGTTAGGTGCATATATGTTTAAAATATAACTTCCTGATGGATTAACCCTTTTATCATTATAAAATGTCCCTCTTATCTCTAATGACTTTGTTTGTTTTAAAGTCTATTTTTTCTGATATTATTATAGCCACTCCAGCTTTCTTATGATTGCTATTTGCGTAGTGTATCTTTTTCCATCCTTTTACTTTCAACTTATGTGTGTCTTTGGTTCTCAAATGAGACTCCTATCAACAGTATGTAGTTTGATCTTGTTTTTTTACCCAGTCTGACAATCTCTGCTTTTTTATTGGATTGTTTAATCAATTCACATTTAATGTTATCATTGATAAGGTTGGACTTACATCTGCCATGTTACTTTTTGTCTCGTATATGTTTTGTGTCTTTTTTCTTCCTCTATTTCTCCTTTTTGCTTTAAGTGAATATTTTCTTTTTTTTTTTTTAAAGATGACCGGTAAGGGGACCTTAACCCTTGACTTGGTGTTGTCAGCACCACGCTCACCCAGTGAGCCAACCGGCCATCCCTATATGGGATCTGAACCCATGGCCTTGGTGTTATCAGCACCACACTCTACCAAGTGAGCCACGGGCCGGCCTTAAGTGAATATTTTCTGCTGTAATGTTTTAATTATTTAAATGACTTTTTCACCATATTTGTTTGAGTTATTCCCTTAGTGGTTGCCCTAGGCCTTACCATGTACATCTTAACTTATCAGAATCTACCTCATGTTTATGCTAATTCCAGTGAAAATTAAGTTACTCCAATTACTCCTCTATAACTCTATTCCCTCTTCCCTCTTCCCTCTTTTTGTGCTATTTTTGTTACACATTAGAGAGCTTCTTGTCCAGCTCCTTATGATTTAGTAGGGAGACCAAGACCCAGAGAGAGCCTGGCTTGGTCATATACTAGCTGTATGACTGCAGGTGAGTCATTTAATGTCTTTGAGCCTCAGTATCCTCACCTGTAAAATAGGGAGAGTCAGATCAACATAGCACCAAGGATGAAGTGAGCTCTGAGCACTGATTCTACACATGGTAGAGGCTTTGAAAATAGTGGCCTGTGTTTGTCCCTCAAAGAATCCCAAGAATCCATTTGCCCCAGCGTTCTCACATCAGAGAGTCAATAAGCATACATGCCCAGCCAAAGCTGTGGGTTGTTCCTCCTCTCCAACACATGCCTCTCCAGAAGAGCATCTTACACTGAACTTCAGCAAACAAAGGCTTGGATCTTAGCCTGGTATGACATACAGACAGTAGGGCCTCTAGGTTAGTGGGCTGCAAGAGCCACAAGCGTGAGCCAGAACTGCCCCCAGGGCACATTCCTAGCCCTAGCTAAGGTCCTGAGTTCATGCTTCACCCTCCTGTTCCTGCCATGGGCTGAGCGTGGGTGAGGCTTTTGGGGGCAGTGCTGTGAAGGGATGGGAAGGGGAAAATGACAACAGATGAGTGTCCAGTCTCTGATTGGCAGAGGTTCAGGCCCTCATCTGGGGGCTGGGGGGGAAGACCTCTTTCAGCTACTCTGGCAGGTGATCATCCAAACTCTGTTTACCATCCAAGACAGAGGCTTCATTCCCCTGAGGCAACTTGAGGCCTACCTCATCTGGTCTCAAGTATGGAGCCACTCATTCAATACAGGCATTGGGCACCTTTGGAATACCCAGCCCCAGTGCTGAGCTTGAGGACAGAGAGTGATCAGTCACAAGCCATGGAAACCACACATGATTATTTGCAACAAATGCAAAGCAGGGCTCAGACATGGGCTCTGGGAGGACAGGCAAGGAGACCCCTCTCTAAACAGACCCCAGGAATGATGTGACCTCCCTTCATGCTTGCCCCTGACCCTATGGTGTGTTGAGTGTCTGAAGGTGGCTCCCTACTGCTATCCAGAAATGGGTCTGGCAGCCTCAGGAAGGGCTTATGCCTAGGGCAGAGGATGCTGGGGAGTGAGCACTACAGTTTGAAGCCAGACCTGGTTTCTAGCTTGGCTCTGTTAGGAGTAATTGGGTGACTGTGGGCTGGTTGCTTAATAGCACTGAGCCTTAGTCCACAAATCTGTAAAAGTCTGCACATCTGCATCACCTAGTGGTGGCCTAGTTGGAGGGAACTGAGTGGCATTCCTAGGAACTCACTAATGAGGTGCTAGCTATCCTTGAGCAAGGCAGCAGGTGCATGTGGCTGCTCCTGGCTGCCTCTGACCCCTCCACAGGACTTCAGCCCACAAGGACCTGTCATCATTTCCTATAGGAGGACAAAGTCACCACAATTCCCAGGAGCTCTCAGGGATCCAGCTGTTAGTCCCACAGGAGGTTCCTCCCCTTGCTCCTGCCACACCACACCCTTCCTGGAAGTCCCCTCCCATTCCTCTGCGTCTTTGTCCTTGCTCTTCCTCTGCCTGGAATGCCTCCCCAGCCTTCCCTGAGCCAACATGTTCTCATCCTCTGAGATCACCTTGGCTTCACCTCCTCTGGGAAGCTTTCCCTGATCTGATCCACCCCCCTTGACCTGTCTGGGTCAGCTGCAGCCCACAGCCCCAGGCCTGCCTGAGGCCAATAGTGTTGATTCTTATACGAATCCATCCCCCTGGGCATTCCCTGCCCCTTCCCAAGACCTTGGTAAAGTCATGTTGACCTTTCAACCTCATTTCTTGGTGGAGTAGAGTCTTTATCTAGCACTGAGAGTCTTGGATTCAAGCCTCAGCTCTGCCACTAATTTGCTGTGTGACCTTGGGCAAGTCCATTGTCCTCTCTGAGTTCCACTTTTCCTATCTGTCAGTTAGTTGAGCTCCTGGGGCAGAATCTTCAGAGGAGAGGATGGACCATCAGCCCCCACTACAAAAGGCTGCTGCAGGCAGTTGGGCAGGGCACTGCCCCCCTCCACCCTGGCAGGAGCAGCCAGGATAAAATCTATGCACCTGACCCCAGACTATCCTCTGTTATTTAGGGATGAATTACCCAGAGTAGCAGGGGTGGAGTGGAGGAGGAAAGTGTGTGGCAGGCCTTGGCCCCAGCTCAGTGTTCTCTTTCTCTGTCCACAGTAGCACGATACAACCGCACCAGCTACTTCTACCCCACATTCTCAGAGAGCTCAGAGCACAGCCATCTGCTCGTGTCTCCTGTGCTGGTGGCAAGTGCTGTCATAGGTGTGGTCATCATCCTTTCCTGCATCACCATCATCGTGGGCAGCATCCGCAGGGACAGGCAGGCCCGGCTCCAGCGGCACCGCCACCACCACCACCGCCGCCGCCGCCACCACCACCACCGCCGCCGCCACCGACACCAAGAGTACGAGCACGGCTACGGTGAGCTGCTGCCCACCCTGGGGCCCTGGGACCCTTGTCCAATTGTGATTGCAAACCGGGTGGCATCAAGGAGATGGCGGCTCTTCCATGGGTAGGGCAGGGTGGTCAGGGAAGGCATCCTAGAAGTCCTGGGTGCTCAGAAAAAGCTCACAGGTGCCCACCATAATGTTTTCAGTGGCATGAGAAGCCCCATTGTCTGCCAAGAGAGGAACTCAGAGTGAGGCTGAAGGTTGGAGGGAGAGTGTGTTTCTACTCCCCAGTCCCTGTCGCTGTTGGTCTGGGCTGTATCAACAGCTGATCCAGCTGGTGCCTGGACGGAGGGATGGATGGAGAGATGGATGGGTGGAGGGGATGAGTGGATAAATGGGTAGATGGAAGAATGGATGAATGGAGGGATGGAGGGACATACAGATGGGTGGATTCAGTGGTGGATGGATGTGTGAGTGGATAGATATATGGGAGGGATGGATGGATGGATGGATGGATGGATGGATGGATGGATGGATGGATGGATGGATGGATGGATGGATGGATGGATGGATGGATGGATGGATGGATGGATGGATGGATGGATGGATGGATGGATGGATGGATGGATGGATGGATGGATGGATGGATGGATGGATGGATGGATGGATGGATGGATGGATGGATAGATGGATAGATAGGCAAGTAGAGGGATGGGTACATGGGGGCTGTTGGATGGGATGAGTGGGAATATGAATAAATGATGGAATGAATGAGTGAATAAATCTCTCCCAGAGAACCTGCTAAGTGCAGGTAGAACTGATTTCAGGGTCTCCCAATTGTGAAAATCACTCTTAAATAGAGTTGGTGGCCAATTCTTGAGTGATAGATTATCCATTTTCTGTCACTTATAACATTACCTGAAACTGGGTAATTTATAAAGAAATGAAATTTATTCCTCACAGTTTTGGAGGCTGGGAAGCCCAAAGTCCAGGGGGTGCATCTGGTGAGGGCCTTTTTCCTGGTAGGGACTCTCTGCAGAGTCCCAGGTGGTGCAGGGTATGTCACATGGAGAGGGATGAGTAAGAGCAAGTGTTAACGTCCTCACTTGCTTTCCTTAGAAAGCCACCAGTGCCCATCCCATGACAACCCACTCATCCATCAACCCATTAATCCATTAATTCGTGAATGGATTCATCCACTCATGAGGGCATAGCCATCATGATCCAAACACCTCCCAAAGGCCCCACCTCTCAACACTGCCACATTGGGGATCAACATTCAGACCATAGCAGGTGACCAGCCCTGGAAATGCCCATCTGGCCAGAATGCCAAAACTTTTCACAGAGTGCAACCACCTGACTCTGTCTCATTCCTGAAAGGGGCCAGTGTCTAAAAGCAGCAGGCTGGTACTCAGTTGCATTCAATTCCCAGACAATTTTCAATGGCAGGAAAAAGTCAGACCCCTCCTTACAGGATCCTGCACTGAGTCCTCATGGGGCCTCTGCCTAGAGTCTAAGGCCACCCTTCCGGTAGGGAAAAGAAAAGCATGTCCATGGAGTTGCATAATTCCAGGGAGTGCCCTTCACACTACAGATGAAGTGATATCAGCCTCCTGGGATCCAGAGCCATGGCAGGACCTGAGAGGCTTTCCAGGCCAGGGCAGGAAGAGCTTGGGGAATAAAAAGAAAAGACAAATTTTAAAAATAGATTGAATTGGATTCAATCGGCCTAGGCCATTGGAGGCCCTCTTCCCCTCCCCCAACACACCCTGATTAACCAGCAGGTTTGGGGCATTTTCTCTCCCTTTTCCCAGAGTTAACTGGTTAAGGAAGGTGCCACCTTTTAGCACTTAAGGGAAACCTGAAGCTGGTGAACACAGGCCTGGAAGTAATGGCCAATGAAAACCTGCTCCCAGGCCAGTCTGGCACCTCCAAGGCATTCTCCACAAGGCAACCAAAGTGATTGGACTGTGACCACTTCCATCCTCTGCTCAACATCCCTCAATGGCTCCCCATTGCCCAGTCAGCCTTCTGCCTGCCCACAGGGCCTTTCTACAGTCTGGCCAGACAGTGAGGAGCCAACAAATGCTTGAAAATGAATGAGAGAGAGAGAGAAGGAAGGAAGGGAGGAAGGAAGGGAGGGAGGGAGGAACAGAGGGAAGAGTGAATTCTGTTTCCGTAAGATGGAAAGATCTTGAGCTTTAAGATAGATCTGGTGGCCGACTGTCTCCTCTCACTTGCTGTGGATTTAGAGCAAGTTTCGTCATATGATAGAAGAGGGTAACCGCAGCGTTTGTCCCGCAGGTGGTTGTGAGGGCAAGTGAGACCACCGACGGGGAGCACAATAGGTGCTCATGGGTGTGAGTTCCTCCTCCCCCCTCTCCCGGAGCCTGTCAAGGGGTGGTAACCTTGGATTGGGTATTTCTTAATTTTGGCAAAAAGGAGGATAGGGAGACTTCACCTGCCATGAGGTGGAAAGTGGGACTTCCAGAGTCTGTGCAGATGTGGAAGTCAGGAGAAGAGAAGGGATAGAAGTGGATTTGGGGAGTTCAAATTGGGGAGGGTCTGGTTCCTTTCCAGCTCTTCCTCAGGAGCTCTGCCTAGCTGGATGTCTGAATTGAACTTGGTTATCTCAGATTGGCGTCTGAGCTCGGGGAGCGCCTCAGGGCAGTCTCAGTTTCCCTGAGATGCTCAGCCTCTGGGAGGCCCAAGAAAAAGCAGCCTAAGAAGAGAGGGTAAATGGCAGTTTGATTTGACCCTCTCAGCTCTTAAGGCTGCCCACCCTGTCCACCCCACTTAGGTCCCAGAAACAGCCCTAGCTTTCCCCAGAGGTCCTGTGTGACAGCCACAACCTCCTGTCCCAAAGGTGGAATACTCCCCTGAGCCCAAAGACCCCTCCTGGCCACACTGGCAGGGACAGGACCCCAGCACTGCAGCCCTGCAGCCCTGGTTCACCTATTGTTTTGTGCTTTCATCTTTCCTGAGTTTCTTCCCAAAGTCCTTCCAAAAATTCCATCTTTCTCCTGGTGCCCTGAAGAGAAACAAATCTCATTTCAGCTTCTTTTTTACAGTATGTTATTGGGTCCATTTTTCCCAGTAGAAAAGTAATATGTGTTCATTGTAGAAAATCTTAAAAATACAGACAATATAAAGAAGAAAATAAGGGTCATGATCCTGTCATCAGGACAGAGCCACCACTAACATGTTTGGAATATTTCCTTCTGAGAGCTTTCTTGGTGTACATATATCCCTGGAATTATACCTGCAGGTGTAATTTCAAATCCAGATTTTTCCACTCACTGTAGTATCAAGAGTGGGAAAAAGATTAGGGGAGTGGGAACAACAGTCTCTGGGCTTATACAGACTGCATGAATTCCAACTCCCCACCTACCGGGTATGTAACCCTGAGCCTCAGCTTCCTAGTCTGCAGAACAGGGATGGCAACCTGCCACCCAAAGTGAGGTCACAGGCTCTGCCCCTCATGTTGAGCCACACTCCCAGAGGGGAGGACTCACCTAAGAACCCATGGGGGTGGGGAGACCTCGTGTCTCAGCCATCTTTTGGCTCCCACTGTTCCCCAGCCATGACTGGACCTGTCAGAAACTGGGAAGTAGGGAGCTTAGAAGGTAAGGAGCCCAGACATCCAGCCACCCTCTGGCCCCACCACTTGCTGTGTGGCCACCAGCAAGTCACCAGACCTCTCTGAACCTCAGCTATAGGAGAGGATTGCACTACAGCAGCATCTCCTAAGCAATGTTACTAGGTCTAAGAAAATAAGATTCTGTGGTTTCTTATCAAATGCTGGACAAGCACAGTTAAATGTGGTCCTTAGCTGCAGGCCTTTTCAGAGCCTTTGATATGCTAATCAGTGGCAAAAAACCCAAAGGAGAATGCAATATGTGGAATTGCCAGATTCATGTAGAAGCCTCTTTTTTCCCTGAGATTCCTAGAGGGAATAGTGTGCGGTTAGGGTGGGGGGTGGGGGAAGACCTGATCCCAGAGTCCTCTGCAACCCTCATTCCTTGCTGCTCTCCTCCCAGTTTTTCTTATGCCCAGGCCATACTCCGCAGCTCAAAGCTCCCTGTTCACACCACCCTCTTCTTTTTCCTCTCCCTCCCTGGCTCAAACTGTTCAGTTCCCTTCTCTCAGTCTGCCCCTCTTCTTCTGGCTAATTCCTAGACAAGACTCTGGCGGCCCCTCCTCCAGGAAGCCCTCCCTGACCTCCAAGAGGTCAGTCTCTGCTCCCACAACCCTAGTACTATCGAGGCTCACAAAACAATGCCCAATACCAGGCTGTCTCCGGGGGAGGCTGCCCACCTCCCTGGAAGCTCCTCCAAGCCAGGGCCTGCTCTGCTTCCTCTCTGTGACCCCATGCCCAACACAGTGATGGCACTCATATTCTGGTGCTGTCACTGAAGGGATTAAGGTAGCTGTGCTTGGTGAGGGGTAGGTGGTCAGGTGGGAAGATCAGAGCCTCGGTGGCCTCTAGTAAAGCGTTCTGGGCTGCCTCTCCGTGAGGACCGTGTCTGGGCACTGGCCTGAGGCCAAGCTGATTTCTGTTCCCTGCAGTGTCCGGTGGTCACACATACAGCCGCTCGAGCCACAGGATGCGCTATGCCTGCAGCCCCACTGAGGACTGGCCCCCACCCTTGGACATCAGCTCCGATGGCGATGTGGATGCCACAGTGCTCAGGGAGCTGTACCCAGATTCTCCACCAGGGTAAGGAGGCCACGTGGGGGAGGAGGGGACATGAGATGATGGGGCTGAGGACACGAAGACACCCCCACCATGAGAAATAGCAACACCTCTCCTCCTGTTGTAAATGCACCACACGTCTGCTCAGTGGGCATGGCCATCTCCTCACCACTCCTGACTGAGCAGGTCCCATTGAAGCAGGGCGTGACTCAGCAGATTTCACCAGGAGGTGCTAGAAAAGGAAGAGACAAGCTCAGCTCCTTCAGCTGATGAGCAGGGCTGCCCAGGAATTTCTGAGCCCTCTGGGGCTCTGCTCCTCCGGATGTCTACCTGGGGTGTTGGAGCAGGGGAGTATGAGGTTATTTCAGTGGCCATGGGATCAACTTCCCCCTAGGGGAAAAAAATCCATTGTGCTTCTCTAAGTAACACCAGGGACCAGGGTAGCAAAGGGGAGACAAGCCCAGATGCTGGCATCTGATGGCTGCAGGTTGACCAGCTCTGGAAATTCTTTCTTATATGATCTTGAGCAAGTTACTTAATCTCTCCATGCCTGCTTCTCCACTGTTAAAATGGCCATGGTAATGGTACCCACCCCATAGGCCAGTTGTGAAAACGAGAGGAAATGGTGTGGGTGATGCTCAGCAGAGCGCGCGGCACACGGCGCTGGACACTCACTGCTCTTCCCCCAGCGCTGTTGTTACTACTTCAAGGTCATAGGTGATAAGGTGTCAGTGCTGAGGAGGATGACAGGAGGGCATCGGGGAGCACAGGCCTCTGTCCAGGGCGCTGCTGCAGCAAAAGCCTGGAAGCCAGTGGGCGCGGTGGGCCACTCCCAGGAGAGCAGAGTCAGGCTTGACCTCCCTTTCCCTTTCCCTTCCCTGGCTTTGGAGTCAGACCTGCCTGGTTTGAAACCAGCCTGGACCCCCACTCTCAGGGCCCCCACTTCCTCATCTATAAACAGGGACAAGTAACCCCTGCTTACCGGATGTTCCTGAGTAGAAGGAGATACTTGGCTGTCTGGGGATTGGCTCAGGGTTAGTGTGAGCCCCACAGTTCCTGAGGTCATGCTTTGAGAATAAGTATACCCACCCTCACCCCCAGGGGCCTCAGTGGCTCTTGCTCTGTGTGGAGAAGTTCCAGCTGGGCCCCAGAGACCAGGAGCTGGGCCCCAAGGAGGTTGCCTGTGCTCAGTGCAGCTCATCAGAAAGACAGGACCCAGTGGGGCTGCATCTGATCAATGTCAAGGTGCACAGGGAGCAAGTCTGGGGCTTTGGGGGACAGAGTTCTCCTTGAGTCAGAGCAGTGTGGGGTTCCTCTTAGGCATGGAAGGTGTCCAGATGGAGGGCCTAAATTGTGGTTAGGCTCCTTGCCCTGGGCTGATTGGGGTTGGGGCCTGGACAGGCAGCTGAGGTAGGGGTGGGAGTAGAGGGGGGAAGGTGGGATGATCACACACACGCATGCACACCCACACACATACTACCCCCCCACACACACCACACACGCACACAGGCATGCACACACACACAGGCATGCACACTCACACACGCACGCCCCCTCACACACACCACACACATACGCAGGCATGCACACCCACACACACGCCCCCCCCACACACATAGGCATGCACACCCACACATACATGCCCCTCACACACACACACCACACACACACAGACATGCACACCCACACACACATGCCCCCACACACACACACATGAACACCTGAACACACAGCCACACACAGATACACAACACACACACACACACGCACACATACACACACCATTGAGACCTGGCAGGCAACAGGGGTCTGGCTGAGCCTGGGGTCATTGTGACCTCAGCTGAAGCCACTGGGGTAGAGACCACCCTTGGGAATGGGGCCAGGTTCTCCTTGAGAAGGAGGTGGGTCATGGAGTCTGAGGGAGGGAGTTATGCCCACTGCTGTGGGGGACCCCAGAAACAGTGGTAGTAGGAGGGAAGGGGAACAGACAGGGGGCTTGCTGGACGTTACATTCTTGCCGTTGGGGTGAGGGTTCGGACCCCAGCTCCTACAAGACCCCAAAGCCCAAATCACATCCATAGGGACAGGAATCATTGTGTCCAGACTGCACTCAGGGCCATCAGGCAACACTGTCCCAGGGAGGCATTCTCTGAGGGGCCTTTAGGTCTTCTCCCACCAGCCACCCTCGGGTAGACCACCCATCAGTTAGGACTTGAAGAGAGAAGAGAGGTCAAGGCCCCCATCACTTCCCTATGGAGAGACCCCTCAGGCCCTGGACAAATGGCCCTGTCCTCCCCAACACCCATTCTCCTTCACCCCTGCCCCAGGGGCACCAGGACGGACAGTACTACTGGTCTTCTCTCGGCAGTGGGTGCTTTTTTGCTCCGTGTCTTCAGATTCTGAAGCGGCCCCAGGGACTCTCCTAAACCTACAAGGGCAGCTTTGGAGTGACAAGGGAGTGACCTCAGCCCAGCCCAAGGTTGCTCCTACCCAGCTCCCCTCACACATGCAGTGGACATATGCCTGGGACCTGCTCCCTAGACAGTGGCTGCTGTTATTTTGAGGAATCTGAGACCCACAAAAGCCCAGTGAATTGCTCGAGTTCACACAGAATATGGGGGCTGAGTCAGGTCCAGAACTCAGGTCTCAAGGGTTCTGGCCTGCCTCTCCGAGAGGGTAGTGGGGTTTCATTGGAACCAGTGTGGACACGTCCCTCCCTGGTCCTCAGCCAGGGCAGCTTGTCACTGAAGATAGGCCCCCATCCCTTGGCAAGAGATCCCCACACCTACCCCTAAGGCCCAGGTTCCACAGGGCCCTGAGGGAACCTCTTCTCTTGTAGCTACGAGGAGTGTGTGGGGCCAGGGGCCACTCAGCTGTATGTCCCCACGGATGCACCACCGCCCTACTCGCTGACCGACTCCTGCCTCATGCTGGATGGCCCCCTCGACTTGGGCAGCGGCCACAGCCACAGCCGACACCAGCAGGAGCAGAGGACCCAGGGCCACAGTGGCCTTCGCACCATCTCCATGGACACCCTGCCCCCTTACGAGGCCGTGTGTGGGGATGGCCTCCTATCAGGCCTCCTGCTGCTGCCAGGACTAGGACCAGGGCCAAGAAGCTCACAGGGCTCACCGGTCCCAACCCGGACAACAGCCTCCAGCCCGGAGAGGATCGTGTGAGTGATCCAGCCAGCCAGGTCCTGCTGGTCCCTCCAGGCTGAGCCACATCCTTCAAGCACACACAGGCACATACACACACAAAGACATGCACACCCAACTCATGCACACACAGGCACATACACACACAAAGACATGCACACCCAACTCATGCACACACATAGATGCAACTTGTACACACACAGACATACACACTGACATGCCCCATGTGCACACACAGATCTAGACATGCCCCACATGTGTGTAGACATGTGCACACACACAGGCCCACCGCACCCACACAAAGCCCACCTGCAAAACTTTCATTAAAAGTGAGGCCTTCTCGGCCTCCCATCTCTCCCCCCAGCCTGTTGGTTGTGCCTCTGTAGACAGCGCTGAGGGAAGAGAGGTGAAGTAGGATACGGGCTCTCTATTGCCTCTCCCCGGGGCTGTCTGCCCCTACCCTCACCCACAGCCTCCAGAAACTGCTCGACCATCTCAGGTCAGCTGCCTGCCCCGATCCCTATCCTAGGGCCAGCTTGTCCTCCTGGGAGGTGGGACAGGCCCTAGAGAGATTCCGCTGTGTGCTGTGCCTATCTTTCATTTCCAGGGCAGAAGAGCCACAACATCACCACCCTGCCACTTACAGGGTGGGGTCATGGATCTGGGGGCCCAGGCACAACCTGGAGGTCCTCACAGTCCACCAGGCCCCCTCCCTAACCCAGTACCCTTAGTCTGGTGGTGCTAGTGGAATTATCTCAGTAGCCCCCACCCCAAGCTACAGGGGGTAGACAGGGCCCATAGTGGGTGTGCAATGGTGGTGGTGGGTTACAGCTGTTCCTGTGTCAGTCCAAGCACTGCCCAGGACTGAGGGTCTTTACAGAAGATGAGGCCATTGCCCTTCTCCAGGTGTCCCCACTGCAACGCTGCCTGGGCCCTGCTCTGAGGCAGGGAATTGGCCCCTTGCTCAGGATGTGCCCAGCTGACCACTATGGGCTGAGCTCAAATGCGCTGGAGCCAAACCCAGGAGCTGGTGCTGTCCTCCTGGGTGGCTGCTCATAGCTGGGAATTGTGAATCGACATGTTCTGGCCTTGCCCATCTGGGGTGTTTGCAGAAACAAGATAAAGGAGATATGAGCCCCATAAATACCACTATGCAGCCATGAGAGGACCAGTGGTGTGTCTTGGCCTTGCTGCCAAGGGTCCTGCCACAGAAGGGGATATGTGGGGTCAGCCTGGTTGTAGAAAGGCTCAGATCTTGGCCCATGAACCCCAGCAATTTCCATCAAAGACCATGCAGGTAATAGAGATGATTCCTGAAGACCCAGCCTGCCAAGAGTCGCAGCCAAGCATCTTTGAGGAGTATCCCCACCAGCATTGCCAGTGGCAGGGAACAAGTCACCCTGCCTCCCTCCCCACCTCTTGTCATCCATCCTTAAACAACAGCATCCCCATGCATCCTTTCCCACATTTCAATTCCTCCAATGAAGGGCTAAGACAATTCAGTAATCCTTTTCTTCAGCAGAGGGGTGGCAAGGATGGCAATCTCGAATTTTATTTTCTGTAGAAATAGCATTTTTTCTGGTGCAGAGCTGAAAGGAATCACCCAGAGGTTCTGTAGCGTCCTGCGTGTGGCATCCTGGAGCCTCAGACTCCACCTGGGGTAGGGACCTTGTTTACAAGCAGTTCTGTCCACCTTTGTGGTGTACTGTTTTCTAGGCAAAAAATATCTGTCTATTGTACTGTATCACCTTTAAAATGCACTCCAGGGATGAGACTCTTTTAAGAAATGCATCCTGCTTCTGCAACTCTATGGAGCGCTGGGGAAAAGAAAAAGGTAAAAACGCCTACCTACTCATCAGTGTTTGAGGGATGGAGCTTCACAGCTTTTCTTGTTCCTGGACTAGGCACTGAATATGAGTAAACAACAATGTATCTTTTCTGTGTTCAAAATAAATGTATCATATCAATAAAAATGTAGCAAGAAGTAACACTTCCAAAGAGTGCATGAGGGGTTTCTGCCTTCTGAAACTTGTAAGGAAAGGAAACACCAAACAGCAGCAAACTGAAAATATACCTCCATCTAGCAATTCCTACCCACTATTCCTGCAGATTGAGAGTCATTAAAGCTTTGCCATCCTGTTGATATGGATATTTGGGTCGTTGGTAACTTACAGGAGATACTTTTTTTTTTTTTTTTTTTTTCCCCTCGCTGAAACATGGCATCATTTTTCTGAGATTCAGTTGGTGTAAATGTCACTAAGATGATCCATCAACTTCAGGATCTGACTCTAGGGACATCAGGGACTACATTCTACTTTAACAGCAGTTGACTTTCAGCACCTTGATGGCTTTTACTACAAGGAGAGAGGGAAATTGTAATTAGACTGAAATGAGTTGTTTTCTCCCCCTCTGCAGAAATTCTCCTTTTCCTTTTTGTGCTCTCCATAAGATGGTGGCTTTGGCTGTTGATCTCTTGACAGATATAGCCTGGTTCCTTTCCTCTGTCACACTTCTCTCCCACTCAAGTAGAACTCAAATAGAGTCCACTAGCATAGTTCTAGACCCCCAAGTGCCCTGAAAGTGGGGTGCGATCCTGCAGGAGGGTGCAGTGGAGGGGAAGACAACTGTGAGATAAGGAAATGCAGGCTCCTCCTTCCGATTTCCCAGCCCAAGTCCCACATCTCGCCTGGAGGGGCCTGGGGCCAGATGTCCCCGCGCCCACCACCCCCACTCCGAGCCCACACTGCCACCTGCCGGCTCCCTGCTGACACTGTTCAAAGTGAAAGGCTCCTAAAGAATGAGGAATCCCCCTTCTCCCACTTTGAAACCCATTGCCCACAGACACTCATAGTTGTAGACAAGATTTGTCATTTGGATCCTGGATTTGTCTTCCACCCTTGGGATGTTCCATGAGGTTTAACCCATTCACACATTCCATTTTCAGGACTAACCCCTACCCCTAGCACCTCTCTTGGGTCACAGCCTGATACCTGTGTCCCTGTATTAGTCTGTTTCTGTTGCTTATAAAATAAAATACCTGCAACTGGTTAATTTGGAAGAAAACAAAATTTATTATTTACAGTTTCAGAGGCTGGGAAGTCTAAAGTCCAGGAAACACATTTGGTGAATGCCTTGGTGGTGGCAACAGTGATCCAGGGGTCTCACATGGCAGAAAATGGTGGAGCAGAGAGAAACAAACTCACATCCTCTCCTTTAAAAGCCATCAGAACCACAACCCTGACCACCATTATTAATCCATTCACTACATTATGGTCCTACAAGGCCCCACCTCTTTAAAGCCCCACCCGTAATTACCATAATAAGATTTCCCACCCTCTTAACAATCACAGCAAGGATCAAGCTACCAATACATAAAACTTGGGGAACACAATCCATATCAGCCCCGTCTCGGTATGCAAAATAATCACTCCTCTGTTCTTCTAAACACTGCTATGCATGACTCAGGTGCCACCTGAACAGGAGATGGGTTATTTATACACTGACTCTCAGCAGTCATTGTTTGGAGGCTGCTCTTTACAGAAGGTTAACTCTTGACCCTTGTGCAGGCCGTGCAGACTCCTATGGCCAAAGAAAGTCTTCAGACAGGGAGTTGCAGCTGTTGGCAGATGAAGCCATCGCAGTGGTCAGCATGAGCCACCATTGGGTCAGCATGCATGGACCTGGCAAGTTCCCAGGTCTCTGGACAGAGCACCAACAGCATGTGCTACATATGACCACAGGCATCACCCAAAGAGGGAAGAAGGAAGGTAGATACAAAGGATGTCTGTCCACAGCCACCACTTGGAACATCCCCCATGACACTGGCCAAGCCCCCTACGCACATACGTACACATGAGGTCTCTCACAAGTCCCTAGAGGACCCCCCCCCGACACACACTCAGTGTGTGTATCACACTGGAGCCTCCCTCAGCTCCCACCCCCTGTGCTCTTGTACACATTTGCTCCGACAGCTTCGGAGCACACACTACTTAGCGCTCTCGAATCAGCATCCCACATGCAACTCAGGTGTTGTGCACTCCAGTGCCATCCACACTCACGTTCAGGTGTTCCCATCCATGTCCACCTGCATAGCCGACCAGAGTCTGGGTGTGAGTGGTGGGAGGACAGGCAGCTTTGTCTTCTGAAGGAGACTTTTGTCGTCATCTTTTGTGCTGGGCTCTGCTCTGCTTGGCCTCCCATTGCACCTCCCCACACCAGCTGAAGTCTCTGGAGCACAGGACTGATTGCCTAGGTCAGGTCTGGTGTCTCTGGGCTTGCAGGCTGGGCACATCTTTGCCCCAGGCCTGCAGCCCAGCTGTGCCTGCCAACATGTCTCCAAGGAATCCCTGGGCTGCAGGTCCTCAGGCCCTGTTGTCCCAGCCTCAGCCATAGCCCAACTGGCCATCCTCACTAGCATGACTTCTGGGGTCCTGGGCTGTCTATGTTTCAGCTCCATAGCCAGTGGCTGTCTGGTCCCCAGCCCACCACAATGCTGGCATCACCTGGACTGTAGAGTGGGTATAGGGAAAGAACTCCTGAAAAGGGGACCTTCCACTCTCTGACAGGCTCTGAGCCCCATCACCCACCCGTATTACTCAATTGCAAGAGGCAGAAACCCAACCTGAATCTTAAGCAAGAAAAGATACTTATTGGTTAATGTAACTAAATGGTCCAAGTGATCATTTCAACTTCAGGCATGGCTGTATCCAAGAAGTCCAAGAATATGGGCAGATATATTGTCTCTCTGGGCTCTGCTGTCCGCCACATTGCCTTCATTCTCCCATTGGAACAAATGGCTATGGAAGTCCCAAGTCTATGATGATTTGTGACCCATAACGCAGGGAGACCCTCTCTCTCCCAGACAGCAAATACCAAATCTCAGAGAAAATTGATAGGCTTGGACGTATATTCATCCTTGAACTTCTGATGGCTGTGACTGGGGGTAGAGTCTTGGATTGGCTGGGCCTGGTCATATGCCCATTCTGGGGATGGGGGAGTAGGAGCCAAATCAGTCTTTCCTGGAATGGGTTTTCCAAGGAAAGATGGAAGGAGGTCAGCAGGACCAGGCATGGACTCTGCCACATTCCCTCAACAGGTCCAGGCCTTACCCACCAGCTCTGAG